GCCTTCTTTCTTTGTGTGAACATTTGGGCGGCGTTATGCAAATCTTCCCAGATAGTGACGTAGGTATGTGGGGGCGTGTTAGAACGAGCCGTTTTAGGTAGGCGTGGTTGACTCTTAACCTTTATAAAGAATATCTCTTTGGATTTGAGATTTTAGTCTTTGCAACTTTACAGATCTTCTTTATGCACCAAGAGCTTGTAACACGCCAAAGAGAAAGGAAAAATTGAAATCGCATCATATGACTCCTTTAAAAAACTTTTTACCAGGACAGGTAACGCATTTAAAACTACCTCTTAAAAGTATGTGGTCGGAAGGTTTTTTTTTAAAGGTGAGGTATGAATTTTCTGTGCTACTAGTGTCACCTAGCGGAATTACTATTTTATCTAGGGCTTGAAAAAAAATACTCTCTTTCTTTTCTGCAGATGCGATCAACTCGTAAAGTATCAGTGTGGCCTGTAGCGTTTGTTGGAGGTTTACGATACGAGTCTCCAAAGGTCAATGCAGCAGGAAAAGTGTATGGGTGGAAAACAGTATTCGACCCTCACCGGCCCTTTGCCATCGACATGGCAGGGTTTGCCATCAACCTGCGACTCATTCTGTTTAAGCCTCAGGCCTACTTCAAGTTACGAGGGGTGAAAGGAGGCTACCAGGAGAGCAGCCTTCTCAGAGAGCTGGTCACTCTCAATGACCTGGAACCCAAAGCGGCCAACTGCACTAAGGTGAGGAAACATTGTTCTGACTATGCCGTTAATGACTCATCCTTCCAACCCATGTGCAGTTTTTCAGGAGAAACACAAACATACATTTTTGGTGATTTTTTTTTTCACACAATTGATCTCATTTGCTAAGCATTTGTATGCACATTGTATGAGCTCATGTGCAAGAGATTTGTGTACAAACGTTTTTCACAAACAATTTTTGAAAAATTGAATAATTTTCATACTTAAATGTATTCCAATTTTATAGAAAAATGTAGGAACAACTGAAACCACACATATGCAGAAAAAGAAATCACATATTCCTGGTGGCCTTATAATCATGTTTTTGTCACCATGATATCAAAATATAACCTTGATAGCTTTAATATTGACATATTAATTTAAGCTTTAGGTCAAGGTCAAGGTCAAGTTTATTTATATAGCCCTTTAAAACAACATAAATGCTGACCAAAGTGCTGCACAACATACGAGACAAAAACATCCTCATACAATACAATTTAAATACTAATAAAATAAATCAAAAGATGTTTGTCAAATTTTAACTCAGGGTCAAGGGTAACTCCCATATTTTTAACTTTATCGCAAATGTTTTCTTGAAGGGGGCTCAGGGTAAAACTTAGATTATTTAAAAGGTGTGAAGGGCCAAACAACATAACTTCAGTCTTTTTCTGATTTAGTTGAAGGAAATTATTGTCCATCCAAACCTTAATGTCCACTAAACAAGCTAGCAGAGTGGACACTGAATCAGTACCTGATTTTAAAGGAAAATAGAGCTGAGTATCATCGGCATAAATATGATATGAAATTGTATGGGACTCAAAAATTAAGCGGAGCGGAACTGAGCTTGATGAACATTCTCCAATTTCCACTGAAAAACTCCTATTTGTGAGATATGATGCAAACCAATCTAATGCAGCATCACGAATGCCAACTTCAAGGTCTAATCTCTTTAACAGGATACGATGATCCACTGTATCAAAAGCCGCACTTAAGTCCAATAATAGCAGAATAGTACAGTTGCCAGAGTCTGCAGATAGTAAGAGGTCATTTACTACCCTTAAAAGTGCAGATTCAGTACTGTGTTTGGCTCTGAAACCAGACTCTAAAGGATCTTTAATAGTAAGCTTATTTTTAATACTGCAACACATTTGAACCATAATTACCCTGACTACATGCCAAAGCTGAGATTCTCCAATTTTCAGGGATATATGACACATTTATGGGAAAATTCTTAAAGTTTTGTAGAACAGTTCTGTTTATTATGATGTGCATGTCCAAAAAGCATAACAACTTTGAAATGAATGGGGGGAGCCACAAGAGATTGATTCTAGCAGTTTGACCCTTCACCCTTAGACCTGCCTCCCTTAGTTACTGTTGCTACGTCCAACAAGCCATGGCGCTCTCACGACACACATCATGTTCATATGCAGTGAAAAATACATTGCGGAGCAAAGAGGACAGTGACAGCGCGCCGACAGACAAGACAGAGCAGGTTATTTTTGGTATGAAACAAAGTCTTAGCTTTCACATTTTCTCTTTTTTTAAGAAATTCAAATTAATTAAATACTGTGTTTTGGCTCTTCCATGTGCCGTGACTGATTGCTGTAGCGCCTCAGTTCAAGAGGCACGTGAACTAGAGACCTGCGCAGGACAGATTTTTCAGTCCCGCTCCAACAAGATTCTGTCCCACGCCCGCCCGCTCCCGCAGAAATATATATTATTTGGTCCCACTCCAGCCCGCAACATTCATGTTTTGTCCCGCTCCCGCCCGCATAAAAGTGATCTATATTTTTTTCAGTACATCGAAGAAATTTACATAAAATGGTTCTGTAACATCTCCTAAGCCCCACAACATCCCAGCATAAACTAAAATATTTGTTATTTAGGCTAAGCATCAACATTCACAAACCACTGTTATTTTTTACAGAAAAGCAAGAATGTGCTGCTGCGTGCATGGTTTGGCATGGCAGAATGCGAGCAGCGCTTCCTTTATTATCACTAAAAGCTGACATCTCAGTTAATCGCGATCTCATAAAGCTCTGTTATAACACAATAAATGTATGCACGATGAATCTTTCACAATGTCTACACTTCGTGTGTGTTAAAATTAGATGATTCGTGAGCACGCAATTTCAGCACTGCTGTGAGTGGATTCTAACTTAATCACCTCTGATTGGCCATTGCATTCCAGAAATCAACAGCTATGTCTGTGATTGGCTACATTGCGCAACCCTTTAAACACGTTTTATAAATAAAAACTATGCTTGCACATGTCAATCATTTTAATGTTAATATTAGTTGTTCT